AATTTTTTTTAATGAAAGTAAAAAGAAAAAAGTTAAAAAATAAGAGAAAATTACTCTTTATTGTACAATTCAAAAATAAAAAATAAAGAATAAAAAATAAATGCTTACAAGCAAGTTTTGTAGAGAGACGTATGTTCACAGCATAACATCTTTCTTTTGCTGATAAAAAATAATCGGTCGTCTCCCACCATCCATGCCCGTTGTGCAGTCAAGGTCGGTCGTCTCCCACTATCCATGCGTTATCCCAATGACTAATCTTTTCCAAGGGGACCATTTAGTGGAATCGGAGTAGATGAAGTTTCTTCTCTTTTGATTGCAGTTAAACTTTTCGAGTCGACTATCAGGTCTTTCTTTGGAAGTACCGACGGACGAAGATGGCACAAAGTCAGGTCTTTAATTCTTTTTTATTGTAATGACAGAATTTTCTTCTTAGAAAGAAAGCACGAAGTTGCCTATCCGTGGCCATATATCCCATTGGTCTTTGCATTGATCAGTCGCTCATGACTTGTGACTTGCTTTAAGGGACCAAAACGTGTTCGCAAGTCATTATCTTTGGTTATTGTAAGTTTGGTAACAGTCATGATCATTTTTAAGACAATAATTAGTGTACCTTTTGACTCTATATATTATACAATATATTTATTAAGAACTTATTATTTTTAAATTTGAATTCAAAATGAAAAAAATTTCATTTATAAAATTTAATAGTAAAACCAATAGATATATATTAATAGGTATATTGAATCGGATAGTATATTAATCGTTACCTTAAGTTTTAATACTAAAAATATTAATACAGTTCCAAAAGCACTCATTGATAATTTTATTGTCTTTTAATCAGAGTATTTTCTCTCTCTTTTTTTTCCCCCCAAATTGCTTTTACTCCTGTCATTGTATTTTCTCATAGTTTCAAACTTTTGATCGCTATTCTTAATTTTTCCAGAACAACTGGTTCTAGTTGAATGACTCGATAACGTATTTTAATCATGAACTTGAAATTATTTGATTAAAATAATTTTAATTAAGGAATCTACCTCATTTTTATCTTTGAAATTTCCCAAGAACCAAAAACCAAAGAGGGAGGGAAAAATTACAAAACAACCTGAGCCTGCTCTAGTTCTTTTGTTTATTAATCGTCTCTCTTTCAAAGACACCTATTCAAGCTGGACTCATTAGCTGAAATATCCGATGAAATTTCTTTCCATTGTAAAAATTAAGCTTGATTAGAACTTTTAGAGTTGAGTCGGTCTTTGTTTAGAATCAAAGACTTTATATCCATGAATGAAGAGGACACATCACAACTGAGGTGTTTAATTTTCTGTTATTGTAATGACTGAATTTTCTTCTCAGAAAGTAATCATGAAGTTGGCTATCATATTGATCTTTGCATATGGTCATTCATGACTTTTCGTTAAGGGACCAAATACAATGGCTGAAAACAATGAAACTTCAATAATTTTTAGGAAAATAATTGATATACCCTTTAGTTGGATGCATCTTTTGGTATTTATTCATTTTAGTAATTAAAATGTAATATAAATATAATCAATTTAGTTAGTTTTTACATCTTATATATATTATTATATTTTTAAGTTTTTTTATCTTTAATTTCCAACCAAAAAATAATAATTTTTCAATAAATGTATTGTACAATGTATTGAATAAAAAAATATATCAATTATTGTCATAATTTCTATATTATAATTAATATTGGGGTCATCTTTAATAAATGTATGATCCCGTTTTTGTTTTCAAAGTTATTTTTCCCACGGATTCTATAAGAAAAATCGATATTGATTCCAAAGTTACTCCCTCTTGTCTTTTTTAATTATTCTAATTTGAGTTTTACATAAATTTTGACTTAAGATTTTTATATAATTACAAATAAATAACAATTGAAAAAAAAATTATTTTATAAGTACCTTTGATCAAGTAGTTTCATTTACATTAAATCTTTTTTTAATTATCATTGATTTATTATATAAAAATATAGTAAGGTATTTTCGAAGAGACAAGGTGTAATTAAACATCCATAAATCTTTTCTTTTGCGGCCAAGGTGGGTCGTTTTTCCCACTTCGGTTAACACCATGCGTTGCACGCAATGACTAAACTTTTCCAAGGGGACTATTTCCTGGAAAATTCTTTTGATTGCAGTTAGACTTTTGGAGTTGCCCATGGGGGTCCCCACAGCCATGTATCTTGGTCTTTGCATGTAGTCAATCTTTGACTTTCTCGATGGGGACTGAAAACTTGTTAGCAACTCATTTCTGCAAACCGACCGCACCCTTAGCATGTGTTTTGGGTTGCTTATATATATTAATCTTTGGTTAATTTAAGTTTGGTAACAGAAAATAATTATTTTTGCTCAAACAACTATAGATTCATTGGTGAATGAATAAAATATACATCAAGTGAATCTACGATAAGCATCATAGATAAAGAAGCATAAAGCCACAGGCGGCTAATGAAAAATGATTGTTCAATCTGCATATTTAGGACTAGGACATGAGCAAAATTACAACATCAATTCTACTTGTGTCATTTTGCTGTCCTGGAAGTATGAAGCAAATAAGACCACTGCAGTTCTTCAGCCACCAATTTTCTGGTCACCACTAAATAGGGTGTAACTCAACCTTCAAAACTGATTTTTGGAAAAAAAAAAAAAAAAGAAAAAGAAAAAAGAAACCAATTCAACTGAATAGTTTCCACCTTCATGTATGTGGTATTGATCTATCCTTTGAATTTAGCAATATTTTGAAATTTTCTTATTCTCCTCAACTTTACCCCCGAATGAACTTTCAGGAAAGCTTTCCCCACAAATGTCATATTGTATTTAGATGTTCCTCACCTCATACAGATCTTCTTTGACTTAGAACAGGTTTGGCATATATTACCATAGATGATAGGGCAGATTAGACTTCATATCCATGAATGAAGAGGACACAACACAACTGAGGTGTTTAATTTTCAGTTATTGTAATGACCGAGTTTTCTTCTTAGGAAGCACCCTTGAAGTTATATACCATATTGGTCTTTGTATATAGTCATTTATGACTTTTCTTTAAGGGACAAAATACAATGACTGGAGACAATGAAACTTCAATAATTTTCCACCCTAGAATTCATATTGGGGTCATCTTTAAAAAACGTATGATCCAGCTTTTGTTGTTTATTTTAATTTTCTCACGCATGGTTTCTGAGAAAACTCGATATGGATATTCCAAAGAAAGAAAATTTATTCGACCTTGTGATTGCTATTTTTAATTTTTCTAGAACAAATATGTACATGAATTCCACCATTCGTGGCCTAATTTTTTTCTCTTAAATTACAAGGACTAGGAGATTGAATAGTATTATTATTATTTTTTTTGAATTCGTCTCGTTGCAAGTAATTTCCATGAAGAAAAATATCACCTACAAAGAAAAAGGGAAGCATCCATACATATGGAATTGGTGTGACCTGAATGGAAATACTATAATCCAACAACGCTAGCTGGTGACCCAACTGTCTGCAAGAATCCATCACTCAAAAAATGTTAAAGTTAATACTCCCTACTGTCTTTTTTAATATTTTGAATTTGACTTTTATATATACTTTAACTTAATATTTTTTATGTCAAATAGATGAAAATTGAAAAAAAAAAATTTCCTATACATAATTCTTTAAATTTTCCGGTTTTTTATGTCACCGTGAACACTACTTTTTTACTCTTGAAAATACATAAAAACCAAAAAGGAAGGCAAAATTTACATGAAATGCCAGTTAATATGGGTGAATATTTTATGAACAATAAAATTGCGAGGGATTGTGGATCGTCAAAAAATAATGATCCGTGATTATAGTCCGAAAATAGTGCTGCCCCTTTGAAAAATTGCGTGAAAAGACATAAAACTCAGTAAAAGAAGTTGGTATTGGGGGGGCAAAATGGGACATCTATAGTATTCAGCTTTTAAATATTTAGAGATGAATGATTTGGATGATGATGATTGATACATGAATTCCACTATTCATGGCATAACCGTTTTCATATAACTACAGCTAGTTAACAGAATAAAGAAATTTTCACAGAAGAGATGGATAAGAAGATGGAATCAGCTTGCCCTAAAAAAATGTACAAATGTGCCATCTCAACTAAAGGGAGAGGGGGGTAACAGGAATTGGTGTGACCTGAGTGGAAATACGTACTTTGATCTAATAAAGCTAGCTGGTGACTCAATTGTAAGCAGGAATTAATTCATCACTAGAAAATGTTAAAGTTACCATTCCTTATGGTCTTCTTTTGGTTTTTCTAATTTAATTTTCATATAAACGATTTAACTTAATATTATTATATGTCAAATAGATAATAATTGAGAAAAAAAATTTTATATATACATAATTTTTTTTAAGTAGTTTTATTTAGATCAAATAATTTTTCTCAAAAATATTGATTAGTATACTGTCTAATTTAATAAATTATATAATATATTTATTAAAAAATTATTATTTTTAATATAAAATTAAAAACAAATAAATTTAAAAATATAATAATTTCTGGGCTAATTGCTTTCTCTTAAATTAAAAGGGCTTGGAGATTGAAAAGTAATTTTTTGTATTTAGAATTAAATCATTTCGAATTGCTTTTACGTACTCTTGCATTTTCTCATGGTTTCATACTTTTGATCGCTATTCTTAATTTCTCTAGAACAGCTAGTTCGATTGATCCGTTGATGACTCGATAACATATTTTAATCACGAACTTGAAATTATTTGATTAAGATAATTTCAATTAAGGATTCCACTTCATTTTTGTCTTTGAGAAATTTCTCAAAAACCAAAGAGGGAGGGAAAAATTGCAAAACAACCTCAACCTGCTTTAGTTCTTTTGTTTACTAATTGTCTTCCCTTCAAAAGATACCTGTTCAAGCTGGACTTATCAACTGAAATTTCGGATGAAATTTCTTTTCATTGTGCAAATTATTAGGGCTTTTAGAGTTGAGCCGGTCTTTGTTTGGAATCGAGGACTTTATATCCATGAATGAAGAGGACACACCCCAACTGAGGGGTTTAATTTTCTGCTATTGTAATGACTGAATTTTCTCCGTAGAAAGTAACCATGATATTGCCTACCATATTGATCTTTGCATATAGTCATTCATCACTTTTCTTTGAGGGACCAAATACAATGACAGAAGACAATGAAACTTCAATAATTTTTTAAAAAAATGATTGATACATTTTATGGTTTGACATGCTTTTTTATATTTGTTTGATTTAGTCATTGAAATATAATTAAGTACAATTGGTTCCTATATGTTATATATATATATGATTGTATATTTAAATTTATTTATCTTTAATTTCAAATAAAAAAATAAATTTTTAGTGAATATATTGTGTAATGTATTGAATTAAAAAATATATCAATTAGTTTCCTAATTTCTATCCTATAATAATGTATGATCCAGCTTTTGTTCTCAAGTTATTTTTCTCATGGTTTCTATAAGAAAAATCGATATTGATTCCAA